GTTGCACAACCCAACAAAAGGTAACCAGAGACAGGGCACGCACACACGCACACATACTAGTTCAATTTATGCGCGCAAAGAATGCAAGGGAAGCAGAAGAAGCACACACACACACACACACACGCACACAATACACATATAACAAAAATGTAGGCATAGCACACTCCATAGGTTAATTGATAAATTACAATAGCACACACACGCTCACATACACGTCGCATATGAATGAACGTTTGAGGAAGTGCGAACGTTTTCTAGATATGAGCACAGTAAATACATATATTACTTAGTTAATGCTAATGCGTATTAACAGTACAACTATTAGCGTTAATTGTAATGCTTAACGATAACGCGTACATCAAAATTTTCCACAAAAATTCAAAATTTTCCATTACATACGCTTTAAACACAACTACAAACATCAACGCAGCGCATGTGTGTACAGTAACTGTTATACGTAGCAAAGATCTTATACGTATGCGAGTTTCTCTATGGCATGCTAGAAAGCGAAATTAACGGTCAATTCAAGTTCAGCTAGAAATGTGCACGTCATGCAAAACCTAACCTCAAAACGTTTAGAGTGAACCCGTTAATGTACAGCTCGTTTCAATTCAATGGAATTGCCTGTAGAGCATTTCTTTGGAATACCCAGCACGGCAAGGGGACACGAGCTGACGTAGGTCGAGGTCGAGGTCGGTCGAGGCTGTTGCCAAGCGCACTTTTTGGACTTTATCAATGACAGGCCACAAATAAAACTCACATTGGCAACGGCACAGAATTTGTGGCATGCACATGAATTTTCTCACGTCGTCACCCGGTATAGACTACACACATACATATACACAGACATACATACGTGATTCGTACAACCTGCAATTCACATTCATATGTATGTGTGTGTGTGTGTGTGTTGATGTGTCTCGTCTCGGCTGTTGCATGTTGCACTATCTTTCCCCGAACTGCATATCTCGGTCTGTCTGTCCGTCCGTCTCTCTCCCTGACCGTCCCTCGCCTCAGCCCGCACTCCACGCCATTAAGCCGCGTCTCAGCCCAGTTCCGGTGGCCGCTCCGTCGGAGACGTCGAAGCCGTTGGCCGTTTTGCACGACGTTAATTAGCAGCTAAGTGCTCAAAACGTTGACGGCTCTGCGGAGTATCTTTCGGTTCCATTAGCGGAAGCGAGCCTATTTTTGCTAGACAAGTGTGCATCTTTGCTGCAGTCGCAGACACAGTCAACCAGATCGCCCACCTGCCCGGTGCTCGGACAACCCATTCGTTGTTATACCCTGAACCCATTGTAAATGGGCAAAAAGGCATCATGTTGCGTGTCAAGACCCAATGATCAGGCCAGGTCCGTTTGTTTTCTATATCAGCTTAACATTATCTCTTCGATAAATTCTTTTATTTTCATAAAATCGATAAGTATCGATTGTGAGCTCAATATAGTATATATATTCCTGATCAGTTTATGTTCCTTTGTCTCCTAGAAGTAGCTTAACATTATCTCTTCATTATCTCCGTTTATTTTCATGAAATCGATAAATATCGATTTTGACTCTTGGTTTTTTAAGCATAACTCGAGAACAATACCAGCTAGATGCACCAAATCGAATATGGGCACTCTCGCATAGTGCACGCAGACCTGGAATATATCACTTTTTAGATAGCTCTCAAAATTACCTACAAAAATAGAATAGAACTCTGTATTAAAGGTAGACCTTCAGGCTTTGGTATAGGCGCACTTTTTCATGCCAGAAACAATCCCTGAAAGTTTCACAAAGATCGACTTAAAGGCAACCAAGTTATTAAGGAACATATCTCCAAAAATAGAATAGAACCCATTATTAAAGGTAGATTTTCAGGCTTTGGTATAGGCGCACATTTTCATGCCAAAAACAATTCCTGAAAGTTTCACAAAGATCGACTTAAAGGCAACCAAGTTATTAAGGAACATATCTGTCATATTATGAGGCTTATGATAATGAAGCACGACAGGGTATCTGCTAGTCGAGCACTGCCGCCTAGAGCTCGCCTAGCTGTTGCATTTGGCATGATGCAATAATTGGTTGCCATCAAAATGCTTTGATGGCAACGATCATACGATCGCCACATACGCGCGGACGATCGTACGATTCGGCTAAAAATCTCGACCTTTCTTGCTTGTGGCCCGCAGATTTCTAGGAAATTTGTATCTTCTTTTTTTTTTCTCTTTGCTAGTTTCTATTTATTTTTTTTCGGGTGGTAATAAATTGATGCTTTGTCGCGATCGATCGCCATTTGTTGCCAGCCTCCAGCCGCTGCCCATGAATATGTATTGTATCTGCGCATTTTGGGCAACTGTCTTGATACACTTGGCGAAAAAGTCAAGTACTTTGCCAGTCAAGCTGGAAAATTCTCGAGTCTTTCTTTTTTAAGTCTGATATACTCAAACAGAAGACGCAGAAACTCCATTCATAAAAGGTTCTGCCTGCATTGAGCATACTTTGGACTTGTTTTAAGCCTACAAATACTTGTTTTAAGTGTGCCAGCTGCAAATTTCTTGAGCCTTGCTTCAAATTCTTGTTTCAGGAAACTAAAATACTTAAATCTAAGACTCAGTGGGTCAATCGATAAATTGTTGTGTTTGCAAAGAGCATTTCTTTTGTTGTTTTGGCTTATTTCAAGTCTATTTCACACTTAAATCAAGCTGTTTTTAAGATTTTCAAGTTTTCTCTTTTAATATAAGTTTTTAACTCCATGCTTCAGTTAGGAATATCTGAGAACGGAATGTATTGAAATTTTTTGTTCTACTTGCATTGAGCATATTTTGAGCTTATTTTAAGCCTACAAAAACTTGTAATAAGTATTTTACACTTTTTTTTTTGTAACATAATGTAAAATTTTCCAAAAATCTTTGGAAATAAGTTGATGGATAACTGGATCCTGCTTGGGAATATCTGAGAGCGGAATGTGCTAGAATTTGAATCTCTGGCAATTCCATTTAGTATATAGGCTATTTTTCGCTCAGTGTAGCTGTATATTGCATCCGTATTGCGACTGCGTTTTCCTGGAACATCAATGAAGGCCCCAAACGATGCGTTGTTAATTGAATCGATAGCAAATATGTCGATCTATCGTTATCTTACGTCTTGCGCCCTTACGTCCTTGCGCCCTTACGTCAAGCTGTTACGTAGCCGCGTCTTTGAGCTGTGCCGTGCCCGCTTCTCGCGTCTCCAAAGGGCGGCACGAGACATCAGCTCGAGCACCTGCAACATTTCATTCAATTGAATTTCGCCGACAAACGTTGCCAGCTGCCAAATGTGGCAATAAAACGAGGAGTGGGGCGGGGTGAGGGGGGGAGGGGCGTGTCGCAGTGCGATTTGTGTAATGGGCATTAAATATATATTGCTCGCGTAGAACTTGCCGACAAATAAATAAAACTAGTCACAGGCAGCGCAACAAACGTGTGGGGAGCGGAAGAGAGGAGAGGAGGAGGAGAGGAGGAGGAGAGGAGGAGAGGAGAACATGAACTGGCTGCCGCCCAGCAACAAGCTCTACCCGCCCCTCCCCCCTCCCCCCAACGCAACAGCACAGCAGCTGCTGCGCAAAGCGAACACGCGATCTGTTGAATTGCTGCCAGTCTGTCTGCCATTGATGTGGCTGCCCCTGCCCCTCACTCCCCTCACCCCCCTCCCCCATCTCCCGCGAAGCTAGCTTGGGCCGGGCTGGCAATCAGTGCCGCTTGCATTGTGCTTTTTTTTTTTTGTGCTGCCCTCAACCGACGACCGATCGCACCAGACAAACTGGCACTCACTTGATTGCAATGCATAGGGGGGCGACTGACAGGGGGAGGGGGAGAGGAGATGGGGAAGACAAACAGACAGCGAATAAGCGCGTCTTGGGTCGCGGCTAATGGAAACCTTGCACCAAGCCTGGGCAGTCGCAGTCGTCGTCGACAAAAAGCCATGCCGCCTGGCACGTACGAATGCGGTAGAAAGAAGCAGCACAAGAATTGCTACACTGCACAAAAAAGAGAAAAAAAACAATGCAAAGGCATCAGAGTATGCAAACGTCAAGAAATTGAAGTAGTTCGGTTCACGCTTTAGGTTCAGTTTTTTCGTTCCAAGCAATCACAATCAATGGAAACTGGAACTGGTTCTGGTTCTTTTCTCTCAGTGCACGCATTGCCATACATTTGAATTGTTGTCCGTTGTCAACTGGTTCCGACTACTGCATTGAGTCAAGGGTAAAACAACTATTCGCTAGGAATTGAAAGTGTGCGGGTCATGCCATGCTGCAACTGTACCCAGTTAAAAGTGTTCCCCAGTTAACTTTGCAATTGCAACTCAAACTGCATGCAAAACAAACAAAAGCATAGAAAAATTGTATAAATGAACTGTTCTTTGGGCCGGTTCCAAAACCGTTTCGTTCCGGCTCGATCAGATCTCGCGCATCTCGTGCCTGCTTGTGGCCCGAACCGTAACCGCAACCGAAACCGAAGTGCACGAACCTCAGCATCAGGCACGAAGAGGGGCGAGGCGGCAGCAGCAGCAGCACCAGCAGCAGCGACGGCAGCGAGCTGTCTAAAAGAGAGCGGGTGAGCGTGTGAGTGGGAGAGAGAGAGAGAGAGAGAGAGTAAGGGAGCAAGCGAGCAGGCAGCGCAGCGACGTCGCGACGCCGGCGTCGCCAGCTCTGGGCTGAGCGTATAAAAGTGAAGTCGGCGCCGTTGCCGAATCAGTTCTGTGACAGTTTTCAGCTGTTGAACACAACTTAAGTGTACGCTTGCGCCTGCCACTCGTTTTCCACTGCAACGTCAACGTCAACGTTTACCGTTTATTTTATTGGTCGACACCAAAGCGCGTTTTGTAAAGAAAGAAAATTGAAAGCAGCCAAAGACAAAGCTGACACAGCCGACGCACATACACACACACACACACACATACCTTTGACTTGTAATGTCGATGAACCGTGCGTATTCGAAAGAGTGCCGCGCTAAGAAACCACAACTAGCTGTTGCCATTAAGAAGGAGTCTTGCTGAATCCTACCCCAAAAACCCCCCAACAAAAACTCTACGAGAGAGCGAGAGAGAGATACGAATGTGCCCAAGCCGACAGCTGGACATACGCTACGTTAAGGCACAGTGAAGAAGAAGAAGAAGAGAGAAGAGCGCATTTTGCTAAACGCATTGTAGAACGCTCCGGAACCGGAACCGAACCGAACCCGAACCCGAATCGCAAACGAACGCAATTTGCGTGCAAAATAAAGAAAAACAATCAAAATTTCACCAAAACTAAGCTGCAAGGCTATCAAAACGGCAAAACGCGCCGTACCTATGTCAGTGTTAACTCAATTGCTGCTGAATTTCAATCAGAAGGCCCAAACCCGAAGCCATCACAATTTAGAGCTGATAAACTCCTTCATAACATAACAAAGAGCTTGGAACCAGTTCGCGAATCGAACCAGCAACAACAGGAGGAGACGCGACCACCATCCATCGTTATTTTACGGCACCCAGTTAGGGAGAAATTTGCAAACATTTTTTACCGGAAGAGAAAAAAGAAATCAAATCAAAAGGTGAGTTTTAACAAATCAACAGAACGAACCTTCCCTCGCGCCGAACCGCTTCAATGCCAACCTGATAAACTGGAGAATTCCACGAAAACGTATTTCATGAATTTCAAAAAAACAAATTCCGCAAATCAGCAAAAAAAACGTTGAAAAAAAACCCACTTCGAAGGGCAAATCGAGTCCAAATTTTCTGATGCAACACTCGCCCAGCAAAACGCCAGACAAGCTCGGGGCACTCGGAGAGACCCCCTTACCCCCCCTAGCCAATAATATAATATGCAAAATAGACCAAATCGACAAAGTCGAACCTATTGAATAACTCAATGGTCACGCCCTTGTCTAGACTCTAGACGTGCGACGCGACGCGACGGGCGGCGTCTCGCCTGTTAGGGTAGGGTATACGTGGTCGGTGTTGGCAGCCCAATGCGCGGCCTTTGATCCATGGCGCGTGGGCGTGCTGACGTCACAGCAAATGTGATTTCAATTTCGATATACATATTTGCTTTTTGGTTCTCTGGTCCACTTAAATGCCGCTCTACAGCGCCTACGTGAGTTCTTTGTCCCATGTCCGCCACAATTAATCATCGTTTCGTTCTATTTGCGGTGTCCCACACACCGCGTGATATTGTGAAATTAGCCAGTCGCACGGGCACAACATCATCTTCCACGCAAGATTCCACACGGCAGCGGAAAAGGGGTGGAATGTGAAAGCTCCCCCCCCCCAAAAAAAAAGAAAGAAAGAAAGGATGCAGTAGGAAAAACTTTGAGAACTTTGATAATTGGCAATCGTCGATTTGTCGATTTCATTCAAAGTAAATTCTTCAGTTTGGTTTTGAATTTTTTACAATACTTTTTTGGACTTGAAAAAATTGAGTCTACTTTTTTTTTTTGGTTATGTGGATAAAAGTAAAATGAAAAGCAAGAAAACGTTGTGAATGGAAAGCCAACAGCCTGAAAAAATTTTAAAAAAAAATTAAAAAGAAGAAAAAATCGTGTGTAGTTACCAGGATTCGAACCTCGGCTAGCTCGCTTGCCGGGCAACTCACAACCGGCAACTAAACTTCTTATGTGTGTGAGAGAGGGAGAGAACGGGAGAGAGAGAGTATGAAAGAGAAGCAGAGTGAGTGGGCGAGCAGGAGAGTTAAGGAGTTCAAATTTGGAGAGTTTGGCATAAGCAAAGGAAATATTTATTAAAGTGAATTGCAGATCTCCAAAGAAATGAGAGAGCGAGAGAAGAAGAAGGAGAGTAAGTGGGAGAGAGAGAGAGAGATGGACTGATAAAGAGTTCATTTAAACTCGAACAGTTTGGATTAAACAAAAGAAAAGATGCAATTCAAATATATTTCAAATGGAATTTATTTCTTAAATGCCAGAATGGAAATTGAAATTCTTATCAGAATTTCATATACTATGAAATATTTCGCAATAGTTGAGGTACAGTCGTCTGAGGGGCCCTGATCGCCAGAGCGACGCGATATCAGTCGACATTGTGATTTATAGCCTCGGCTAAAGCTGGCCCGGGACTTCGCCTGGGTGATAACTGATAAGCCGAATGATGATGTGCATGACGATGATGATGATGAGAATGATTTCTGCCCCGTCATCGTGGGTTTATTAACCTATATTATAGTCGAGTCGAGTCGCATCGTGTGATTTTGAACTTTAATCCCGTCTCCAGCCAGTATCACTAAGACACACGTCTGCTGTCCTTGTCTCCTTGCAGAAAATGAACTTAAATCTGTGCGCTATAGCGCTGCTGCTGTTTGGCAGCCTCTCGGGCGTCCAGAGTCGCGCCGTGGACATTGTGGACGAGAGCAACGATGATGTCGATAACTCCATTGAGCCGGAGCCGGAGTCGCCCCAGTCGAAGCACAGTCGCGCCCGCGCCTTCGAGGAGGATTGGCTGAAGTTCACCAAGACGCCGCCCACGAAAATCCAACAGGCACCGGGCGCCACATTGGAGATTGCCTGCGAGATGATGGGCTCCCAGGTGCCGAGCATTCAGTGGGTCGTCGGCCGTATGCCGCTCTCGGAGATCGATAATCTGGCGCCCAACACCTTCTCGGAGGATGCGCCCTCGGCGATTGTGCGCGTCCGATCCGTGCACATTGTCGATCATATGCTGAGCGGACCGCGCACCTATACGTGCATTGGACGCACCGGCTCCAAGACGATCTATGCCAGCACTCAGGTGTATCCGGCGCACTCCGAACAGGAGCTGGGCGGTCTGATTGTGCCCGAGAAACAGTATCCGGGTCCACAGAAGCCGCGCATCATTTACACCGAGAAAACGCATCTCGATCTGATGGGCTCCAGCGTAATGCTGCCCTGCAAGGTGCACGCCAATCCCCATGCCAAGATCACCTGGAGGAACAACGAGGACAAGGACATCGTGCAGAGCCATCGCTTTAAGGTGCTGCCCACCGGTGATCTCCTCATCTCCGATCTCAAATGGGAGGACATGGGCAACTACAAGTGTATAGCGCATAATGCCGTTGGCCGCGACTCGGCCGATACCTTCGTTTACCCCGTACTTGTAAGTATCTAACACAATCGATAAGTCGATAAATCGATAACTAGACAAGTCGATAAAACGATAAGTCGGTAATCGATAAGTCGATCAATTGATAAATCGATCACACGATAAGTCGATCATTTAATAAATCGATCAATCGACAAATCTTTAACTCGATAAATTGATTCCTCGATTACTTGATAAATCGATAAATCTATAACTGGACAAATCGATAACTCGATACATCGATTAAAACTGTATTTGATCTCAAATTTTAATTCGGATTTTTCCCTCTCCCCACCTTTGCTTGGACTCATTGCAGAAGGAACAAGACTAAAGATTCCACACACAAGGCTATTGGATTGACGAAACCACATTTTTAGTTAGTTAGATAGATCAAATGCCTTTGAAGATGCGTGAAAACAAAGAAACAAAAAAAAAACAAAACAAAACCACAAAAAAAAAAAAACAAAAACAACATAACAAATAGGAAAAACCCAAAAAAAAAATGAAGAAACAACACAGTTTAGCCCTAAGTTGAACTCTAGAATCTAATGCCGGCTTAGACTTTAATCTTAAAAGCACCGTTTTCCTCTTCTTCTTTCCACATCGAATAATTTACGAATACTAATTTAATGCGGGAATATATCAAATTCCCCCACGCCTCCCCCGCACAACTAATATTTGTTTTTAAGTTCTTACACTTATTATTAATTTTTAGTTTTAGTTTGCGTCAGGTAAACAAATCTCGTTATGTAAGTAGCAATGATTGTTCCTAACGATTCAGGCAAAAGAAAAGAAAGAACATTAGTTAACGTTAATTAATTGGCCGTTACTTAATATATGTGTGGCTATGAGCCAACCAGAAACCATCAACAAATCACCAAACCAACCAATCAACAAATTCGGCTCGAATTCACGAAATCACGAAATCATGAAATCACGAATTTGCGAAGTTAGAAATTCACGAATTCATGAATTCACGAGTAAATGAAATCAGGAATTTACGAGTTCATGAATCTACGAAGTCATGAATTCACGAGTTCAGAAATACACGAATTCACGAGTTCACGAATTCACAAATAAACGAATTCATTAATTCGCGAGTTCACGAGTTGATAAATTTACGAGTTCATAAATTCACGAGTTCACAAATTCACGAATTCATGAATTCACGAGTTTATAAATTCACGAATTCACGTTCTCATTTTCTACAAATTTATTTATTGAACCAGCATCGTCCATACACACACACACACACATCCATATCTATATATTCGCATACGATAAAGTATTCACTGGGTTAACAGAACAGTCTTTAATTTTACACTCACACACACACACACACACACACACGCATACCCTATATATTGAACGCAGAAGAGTTACCTATACCATCATATTATGTTTTATTTTGATAAGCTAATTGAACTGAATTATGGTTTTTTTATTTTGTATTTTTATATACTATTAATTGAATTAATTTAAAGTGTTTGTTTTTTGAATAAATACAAATAAAATAATTAAAGAAAAACATGTAATTGTTTCTCAACATTTTTATTGACAAATCGTACAATACAATCTATACAGTGTGATATTATGAACTACAGCTAAACTCGAAGAACTCTTTGTTTTCATTTACAACAAATAACGAGCAAACATATGTACGTATATAGCTATATATGGATATATGTATATAAGTCAAGGCTGCAAATCGGTTTGAATCCAGAATTTAAAATAAGCCAAAAATCGGAAGAAAATTCGGCTAGAGGTTCGATTTTGTTAGCGTATAATATTTTGAGCTCGCACAAATCAAATTCGAAATGTTAAAGTTTTAAGACATTTCCACCATTCTTTCACTCTGGTTCGTGGATTGTTTAACAGTTATTCAGTAAACATTTTGAGCTCCAAGTCTTTGCACGAGTACAAAATGGTTTATCTTTCCAAGATCGAACATCGTTTAACATAGTTTTAAGAGTTTTGTTTTGGTTTTAAGACATTTCCATCTTTCTTTCAGTTTGGTTCGTGGATTGCTCAACAATTATTCAGTAAACATTTTGAGCTGCAAATCTTTGCACGAGTACAAAATGGTTTATCTTTCCAAGATCGAACATCATTAAACGTAGCTTAAAGAGTCTTGCTTGTAAGCTATGCGACATTTCCACCTATATTTCGCTTTGGTGCGTGGATTGCTCATCTTGAGAGTTCTCCGGGTTCAAACAGAGCCCAGTTCTACGAATCGAAGCGAAAGGCGTGAAACTATACGGTTTGCAGCCCCGACATAAGTATTTAGTTAAAAAGATGCTGTTCGCAATTGGAACGAAATTGTTTAAGTGTATTATCGCATTTAGTTAAGATGTGTTCTATTAGGTATTTTGTAGAAAAGAAATTGAGAGTTAGGCAAAGTTAGGAGCTAATCTCTAGTATTACGTGCTGATTGTGCGCTTTTAACAAGTTGAAGGCATCGGAAAGCAAAACCTTTGCGTCGAATCGAAACGATCTTCTTTTTTATATATTGTCACTTGTCAAAGGAAAAGGTTGTCTCGGGGCAGGGCCTAAAAGGGTTTGCACAAACTTTTTGGCACGAGGCCAAAAGAAAAAAACAAAAAAAAAAAGCGTCGCTCATCGAAAGGAATTTGTTGGCAAAACTTTAAATTCGTATTCGTTAGCAATTTTCTTTTTTTTTTTTTTAGTTGGATTCGTGGACGGACTCTAATTTTAGGATAATACTTGTTGTCAATGGGAAAGATACAGATACAGATACAAATACAGTTGCAGTTGCAGATACATTTTGCTCTCAACGAAAGTTTGGCCCCAGTTTGCCTGGCTGGGCTGAACTGCCGCCACCTCGCGCTGTTGCCGGGCAGATTTTGGGGCCAATTTGAAAGTCGCGCGTGACTCAGATGCCTGAGATACAAGCCACAGAGGCAAACGGAAATGGCAGGCCGGCTAGAGGGGGGAGATTGGGGGGGGGCATGGGGCAGGGACTGTGGGGAAGGCAGCCGGTTGACTTGCCGGCAACCAGTTTGACGGCACGTATGTGCTAATTTATATATAAAATAAAGAAATAAAAAAAAAACCGTCAGCCTAATGATAAATGATTTATACGAATTTGTCAAGCTAATTGGAAGGCGCGCGCGAAGCCCCACGTAGCCAAGCGACTCGACTGAATAATTGCCAATCAAAAGAAATGCTGCCTAGATAGGGTATGGCGTACAGGGTGTTGGGTATTCGCTATACGGTATACGATATACGATATACGGTATACGGTATACGGTATACGGTATACGGTATACGGTATTCGGTATACGGTATACGGTATACGGTATACGGTATACGGTATACGGTATACGGTATACGGTATACGGTATACGGTATACGGTATACGGTATACGGTATACGGTATACGGTATACGGTATACGGTATACGGTATACGGTATACGGTATACGGTATACGGTATACGGTATACGGTATACGGTATACGGTATACGGTATACGGTATACGGTATACGGTATACGGTATACGGTATACGGTATACAGTATACGGTATACGGTATACGGTATACGGTATATGGTATTCGGTATACGGTATAGGGTATAGGGTATAGGATGTTGGGTCTGATGTGTAGCTAGATTTCAAGGGAATTGCTTAAGGCTAAATGGAATTCGAGTATCTTGCAGATACATTAGTTTAAATTATATATATATGTATATATATGTTTGTGTATATATTTGAAGCGAACCCAACGGCAGATACCTAACATGTTGGCCCGCTTTTTGGCCATTTACTTTTCTTTCTTCGTTTTTTTTTGGCACGTAACGACATGAAAATAAATATATATAAAAACAAATTATGAACAAATACGACAAATATGCGCAAATTCCAAGAAATAAAATGTGACCGAAAAAAAACAAACTAGCCAAAAACAGACAAAAGTTGATTCTTGCCGGGCAGAGAATCTGCCTCCTCTCCGGAGCAGTTCGTCTAGACATTGAGCACGGAATGCTTCTTGCTGCCGGCGAGGGGCAGCTGCACGGCGACCACCGCGAGGCGGCCATCCCGCAACGGGGCCAGGATGTGCGTGTTGCCCGGCGCGACGACCACGGTCTGGATGGGCACATGCAGCGGAATGTCAAAGACGGGCTTCAGCCTGTAAATCGTTTATATATATGTATATATATGTATATTAAGATTAGTTTTAGTTGGGATTTCATGCGGACTCACCCGTGCAGGCGACTCATGGTTATGTCGCCGGCATCGTCGGCCACCACCAGATAGTCCGAGGCGCTGGCCAATCCCGTCACACGGCCGGAGACATACTTGGAGCCCAGGCTGGCCCCATTGATGCTATACACGTGCACCGAGTGCGATGTGTCGTCCAAGGCGCTGAAGGCGATGTGACCTGCCGACCAAGAAGATCAATTCAATGCTGACGTCAAGAGTCTGATAAGCGGCCGGAGGCAACAGCAAAGAATCTGCCACAAAATGCCAATCAACTTGGCAAACAGTAAGGGGGGGCAGGGGAGCAGGGTGAGGGAGAAGGGAATGCGAGGGGGGGGGGGGGGGGCAAGATGCAATATTGCATCTGTGGACGTCTTTCTTATCGCAGGCTGACATTGATACACTCAGAGAAAAACTCAGCTATAAATTACGACTTCGAATTTTGGTTGCCTTTTTAAAAAAATGACTTTCAATTATTTTAAATACGCTTAAATTAAGCCAAAAGTTTTACTTTTATTTTCGATTTTTGAGATATTCCGAATTTCATCTGGAATATTCTTAAATTAAGCATGATTCATGCTTGCCTCGCAAGTTAAATAAGAATAAATTGCATAAATTAGGTTCGATTCTTGAAATATTCCAAAAAATATTCTGGAATATTCTTGAATAAGATATGAATCATGCTTGCCTTGCAAAATAAAGGTAAAATAAGAAAATTTTGCATAAAACCGATTCGATGACGTTCCAAAACGACATAGCTCCAGTGGAGATATGACGTTCCAAAACGACGTTTTTTTTCGTCTGATTTTAAAATGTTATACCTTTTTACATTCGTACGGATCCCTACTATTAATTGGCATTCAAAGAAATTCAATATCGATGGGTAAAAAAAAATGATTGACCAAAAACCGATTCGATGACGTTCCAAAACGACATAACTCCAGCGGAGATATGACGTTCCAAAGCGACATAACTCCAGCGGAGATATGACATTCCAAAACGACATAACTCCAGCGGAGATATGACGTTCCAAAACGACGTTTTTTTTCAAAATCGGGGTCGGGTCAAAAATCGAAACTTTGTCGATGATTTTATTTTAATATCTTCTGGTTTTAAAATGTTATACCTTTTTACATTCGTACGGATCCCTACTATTAATTGGCATTCAAAGAAATTCAATATCGATGGGTAAAAAAAAAATGATTGACCAAAAACCGATTCGTTTTCAAAATCAACCTTTTTTGATGATTTTTTGGCATATCTCGGCCAAATAATGTCAGATTTTCGAATTTTATACCATTTTGACTCAGTTTTCTAGCAAGTTTTTATCGTGATAAATTTCAGAAAAGTCTGTAAAAAAAAAACACTTATTTTAATAAGACATAAGCTTAAAATAAGCCTCAAAACTTGCTCCAAGCAAATACAACATTTTCTAGATTAAGTTCTTGAAACAAGAACTGGGTACGTTCAGGTTTTGCCAACATTTGTACTTAATTTAAGTAGCGTTTATTTTTTTAAAAGAGTCGACATGCTTCAAATAAGTCAAAACTGTCTTGAGCTTGACTAAATTCTACTCAGTTTTCTATTGAGTTTTCTGTCAACAACTTTCCTAATATGCAAATAAGTCTGAGGAAAAGTAAGACGAAACTTATGTCGAGAAGAAATCAGCTTAAAATAAGCCACAAGCGTACGAAATTTCTTAGTTTGAGTTTATCTTGAAGCACGAATTGGGTGCGGTCAGGTTTTGCCAACATTTGTACTTAATTCAAGTACAAAATGTTTAGTTTTTCTTTTTTATTGTTTAACGAGCGCAACGACTTACATCAAGGAGAGAGAGAAGGAGGTGGGGGTTGGGGGTTAATGAGATAGAGCCTAAGATTGCGATATGTGGGGCAGGGTGCGTTGCGTCGCGTGGTTTGGGCTCTACGGGTTCTACGCAGTTGGAAATGCCAATGGGCCGGAGTTGTTGGGTCCGGCCCACTTGCCGTTGACAATTGATAACCTGCAGCACAACGAAGAGCGTACAACATGGAATTTAAGATTATGACACGCTTCTCTGAAGATAACAACAACAATCTCGACGACGACAAGAATGTTGATGATTAAAGCGATGCGTAGTTGGGGCTTATCAGTGAGCATTGCCAATGAAATTGATTGAAATGAAAAGAAAACTCAAAACCCGTTCCAAATGCTGCAGAATGAGAAAGAGACACACAGAGAGAGAGAGAGAGAGAGAGAGAGAGGGAGAGAGAGAACATAGTGCCAGTGCCC